TGGCGCAAGCTTATCTGCAGTTAAGTGTCAACCGCGACGCTGCTGAAGCACAAACAATAATTACGCAGAAACGGGCTTTTAAATGCAATTGTTTACAATTCGGTATATCAGTGGCTCCACAAATTTTTCAAAAATTCATAGACACTCGATTAACGGGTATTCCACTACCTTATTACGATGACATTTTAATAGTTGGTAGCTCAGAAATAGACTTGAATTCAAAAGTGCGCGCGGTATTATCGCGTTTCCAGGAAGACGGACTGCATTTGCGCAAAGAAAAGTGTGTTTTTCGAACAAAAACTATAGAGTTTCTTGGTTTTCAAATTAGTGAAGACGGTTTACGCCCCACTAAAGACAAAATCGCAGCTCTAACTAATGCGCCTGCGCCAACCAATAAAACCGAGTTGCAAGCTTTTCTTGGACTTTTAAATTTTTATCATGTTTTTCTAAAGGACAAAGCAACAATTGCGAATCCGTTACATGCACTGCTCCGAAAAGACGTTCCCTGGCAGTGGCGTTTTATAGAACAAAAAGCTCTCGATTTATTAAAAGAAATTTTAGCGAAAGAACCTGTGTTAGGGTATTACAATGAACAAAAAGATTTATTTTTGACGTGTGATGCCAGCCCTTACGGGGTAGGTTGTGTGCTTAGTCAACGTGATGATGAGGGACGTGAATATCCAGTGGCGTACCATAGTCGTACTCTATCATCTACTGAACGAAATTTCTCCCAAATCGACAAGGAAGCACTGGCCATAATATCGGGCATTAAAAAATTCCACGAATATGTATATGGCAGGAAAATAGGCCTAAGAACGGAGCATAAACCATTGTTGGGTATTTTTAATCCGAAAAAGGGTGTTCCAGAGATACTGTCACCCAGAATGCTTAGATGGGCTCTTATGTTATCTGCTTATGATTATGAATTATGTTACGTATGTATGTTATGTTATGTTACGTACCAGGTTCAAAAATTCAGAATGCAGATGCTCTTAGCAGATTGCCACAAAAGGTACATGCGCCAGAACCACCAAGCTCAGATGACGTTTTGATGCTTGAGAACATCCCAGAAAAACTAATCTATGCCAAAGACATTGCCAATGAGACTAAGAAAGACCCAGTGTTATCTAAAGTTTTGCAGTGGGCTTGGAAAGGTTGGCCTGATGAGAAAATCAAATTTTCAGACGAATATACTCCTTATCTACTACGTAAAAACGAAATTAGCTGTTATCAAGACTGCCTGTTATGGGGTACAAGTGTTTTAGTTCCACTAGGAGGGAGGAAAACAATACTGAATTTGCTACACTCAGCACACCCCGGAATCGTAAAAATGAAGTCACTGGCACGCTCATATGTTTGGTGGCCAAATCTCGACAAACAAATCGAACAGCTAGTAAATACATGCAGCGAGTACCAGGAGTCTAGAAACATGTCAAAAAAGGCTACAATCCATCCGTGGGAGTGGGCCAGAGCTCCTTGGACAAGAATACACCTCGATTTTGCCGGTCCATTTAAAGGCAAAATTTTTCTGATTATCATAGACTCATACTCGAAGTGGCTGGAGGTTAAAATCGTTCCAAATACCTCTAGTGTTGTGACTATAGATGTATTACGTAGTTTATTTGCCACTCACGGCATCCCAGATGTCGTCGTATCTGATAACGGAACTTGTTTTACGTCAGCTGAGTTCCAAGATTTTTTAAAGAAAAACCTTATTAGACAAGCATTGGTTGCACCATACCATCCAAGTAGTAATGGGCAAGCGGAACGCATGGTACAAAAAGTAAAAAATGCACTAAAAAAAATGACAGATAGTAATGAAGAAACTAAAATACAGTTAGCATTGCACAGATATCTCCTTACTCAGTACATTACACCCCATTGCACAACAGGGAGATGCCCATCAGAAATATTAATGGGGCGAAAATTGGGCTCATTATTTAATCGTTTACAGCCCGACTTTAGAAAAGAGATGTTATCTAAGCAAGAGATGAACGATTCTTACAAAACAGTACCCAGATGTTTTCAAGAAAACGACACTGTATTTGCAAGGTCATTTGCTCCAGGCGGTCAAAAGTGGCTTCCTTCCAAAATAATTGAAACCACTGGATCGTTAAGCTACAAAGTTCAAACCCCCGATGGTAAAATTTTACGTCGTCATTCTGACCAAATCAGAACCCGTGTGTGTGACCAAGAAACAAAAGACGAAGTACACCGTCGACCTCGATGGAAAAAAAATTACTCGTAACTCCTCAACCGTTGTTTCTGCATCCAAACGAATTTGTGGACCAAGAACCAGAAATTGTAGAGCAGGCCGCTGAAGTTAAAAAGCCACCTGCTCGAATAAGAAAACCTCCAAGGTATTTGGAGGACTATGATGAGTAGATTCATCCAGGAGGGAAGAGTGTGATGTATTGGCAACCCTGCAGTGCGGTTACGTCACAATCAGCTGAGAAAACACTCAGGAATAGAGACGCGACGATGACCTGTTTAATGTATATTGTTATTTGCATTACGTTTTGGAGTGATCATTAAAGTCGGTAGTATTTCCTATACCGTGTTTATTACTTACAACCGGTCCGATACATATTATATATATATATATATATATATATATATATATATATATATATTATATATATATATATATATTATATATATAGTTTATCCATATAAAAACCCTATATATGTTATTT